CCCGATGACGATTGCTGGCTATTCGAAATGGTGCAGCATATGGACTGCGGCTTAACAGGACCTGCCCCTCCTCCTCCGGCCACATCCAGGGCGCTGCTGCTGTCTCCGGCACTAGGTCCGGCGCCGGCACCGGGCCCGGCTGCGTCTCCATTGTTGTTGGCCCTGCCATGGCAGGGACTGCTGCGAGTGCTGCCAAACCGCTTGTTGCCACCCTTGTCAAAGCTGAAGCTGAAGTAGTCCGAGAACTGGCGCAGCCGCGACTTCCACGAACCGGAGCCACCGGAGCCACCGGAGCCACTGCCACCGGCACCTCCAACTGCGACAACACCGGACACAGCGGCGACTCCGGCCTGGCTGCTGGCACTGGAACTGGCCGGTGCCCGACTGCTGGTGCCGCCGTTGCTGGCCAGCCCGATCTGCTCCAGCTGCTGGCAACCGGTGGGTGAGACATTGCCGTTGGAGGAGGCGCTCGCTGCCACATCCGCCAATAGGGGGACACTCGCCGTGGCCACGGCCGCTGGCCCCATTATCTCTGCGGCACTGATCTCCCCATCCGCATCGGAGTCCGCCTCGGTGCGGGCCAGCAGCTCATTCAGCTGAATATTGTTGCCAGCTCTGCCTGCTCCTGCTCCTGCTCCAGCTACAGCACTCGTATTGGCATTGGTGTCCTCTTGGCCACGCTGTCCACTCTGTCCGCTCTGTGACTCTGTGGCGCTGGCCGCGCTGCGTTGATGGTGGCGTCCGTAGAACACATTGCTGTCGGAGATCACCTGGGGCAGGCCGTCGGACAGGCGACGGCTGTGGCCGCTGTTGTACTGGTCGAGGCTGACGGCTCGGTTGTTGCCAAAGTGGCAGCGGTTGCTGTGGTAGCCGTGGATGTTGCCGTAGGAGTTGCGAATGCGCTGGCCACCGCCGCTGCTGCACAGCTCACCGATCATCGAGGGGCGCTTCTCGCGCGACGATTTTCGTGAGTTCGAGTGCGAGGACTTGCTCCGGTTGCTGCTGCCCTCCGTGTCCACCTTGAACTTGGATGTCTTCTCCGCAACCTGGCGACAAAGGGGAGTGTCAGAAGAGTGGGGAATGTGAGATGGAATAGGCTGACACTTACATCCACTTCGGTGGCCGTCTCCGAGTCGCCGCTCTCGCTGCCCTCGGGCAGATCGTGCAGCTCTGCTGCCATGCCCCCCGGCTCGTCCACGGAGGTGCGTGAGGCGGACTTTTGAGATGGGATGCTGCGTCGCGACTTGACGCTAATGCCAGAGCCGGAGCGTGGCATTTGGGGGGAAACGCTACCAGTGGCACCGCCCCCTCCGCCGCCTTGGGCATTGCCTTGGCCCTTGTCCATGATCATCTTGTCGCCCGTGGCGCCCGGAGTGCTCACCATGGCCGCATTCGAGTCCATGGTGCCGCTGTTGCTGTCCGAAGTGTTGCTGTCGGCCACGGATTTGCGCGTCTTGGTCTGGGCATCATTCAGGCGTCTACACATGGAGTTACTGGGAGTTACTTGAGACTGGGATGGGGCCAAAGACTCACCTGTAATACTCCAGAGCAATGCGCACTGGTATAATGATGAGCTCCGTGAGCTCTGGCACCAGCTCGCCGAGCGCCTCGAACAGTGGCAGCAGCACCAGTCCAATGAAGCGCACCTGGGAGCCCGGCTTGCTCACCTTGTCCGGGTCCATGAAGGGCGTCACTGGCAAGCCCTCCGACTTCTCGGCAGCACTCTGGGCAAAGAACTCCTGCAGCAGCCGATCCAGCCACGGCTCGGCCACATCCATGGGCCGCGCCTCATTCGAAATGTCCGCCACCTTGATGAGGATCATGCAGAGCTAAGCCAAGAGAAGGAGGGATTTCCCATCCGATTAGCAGCTGTATGGAGACGCCGAGTGCAGTCCGAGTGCTTACCAGATTGATGTGGGCCCGATTGCTGTAGTCAAAGATGGGCGTTATCTCCATGAACTGTGTGAGGATCTCATTGTGGCGGGCCATGTCGGTGGCCAGAATGCAGCGTATAATGCCCTCACGTATGGTGCTGTAAATGGAATTGGAATTGGAGTTTGAGTTGGAGTTGGAGTTGGAATTGGGAAACGCATTTAAAAGAGAGCACATCATCCATGAGGAGCAGCGTTTTAATGGCTCCTTTCACTTTCGAAATCCTTCAGCTAAATCCCCAGCTGCTTTGCCAAGCTTCTTGAAGTTTTGACACGACAAAAACACCAAAGTCTCGTGTTGCCAATAAAAGTGTTTACCGGCGGAAAAGGCAATGGAGTGTTTTCCCACAAGAAAAGGCCAATCAAAATGGCGCAAGAATGGAGCTGACGGACCAAATGCAGCGCGTAAAATATCAAATTGCATTTCGTTGTATTTGAAGTTTGAAGTTTGAAGTTCGAAGTTGAGGCAAAGCCAATCGTCAGTAATGCCCATCGTTCCTGTGGCTGTCTATGTGTTATACAAGTCAGATATAAGTCAGTCCCTTTTGTGCACTTTTCCCAGGGTATCGAGTGAAGCAAACGCAACTGAAATGTTTGCAAAATTGGATTTCTCGTGACACGCTGCATTGGCATTGACGTGGCAGCACCAGCACCAGCTCCATCTCCATCTCCATCTCCATTTTCACCTTCGACTACTTCTCCTTCCCCATCCCCATCTCAGTCCTCGACTGCCATTCAAGGTAAGCGCCTTGCAACTGCCGCATTAAAAGTGCAAATAGAACGTCTGTCACATTGGCAAATATTTATTTTTATTTGTATTATTTCGCTGATAGAATTTCGCTTGAAATTGATTAGAAAATTGCGTGCACATCAATAAGTAAAGATTGTCTGGCATTTCGCTCGCTAAAATGTGTTTGGAAAATGTGTGTTGTGATGTGCATAAAGGACTTCCCTTTGAAAGACTGGCAACAGTGTAAGGAATGCATCAAATAAGTGGAAAGCAGAAGGAAACCTCTCGTGGAGCAATGCATTTTAATTGGGTTCCAATAAGCTACAAATGTCACCGAGAACAATTCGGAATTTCCATTCGGAAATCCGAGTCAAATTCCAAATACCATTTCCCATTGCAGTGGGTCACCGCACCCACAGCCACAGCCACAGCCAAAGCCACAGCCGCACCTACACCCACCGTACACCACCGTGCAGACATTCTGGATTTTGGCATATTCCTGGCATGCTCCGACTGACACAACTGTGGCGCCTAGTAATGGCGTTCAGTTAATTAATACCTGCTGCAGCCACCATTAAATGGTGGGTGGGTTGGTGTGCTCCATGTCTGCACTTCAAATTGGGATTTAAGGGATAACAAAGCAAATTGTAAATTGCCATGCCATGCCATGCCATCCATTGATTGGCAATGTCGGGGATTTTACTGCACTGCTTGAATGGAGAGACTGCGGCTTGGCTGGGTACAGGAATTAGTAGATGGTTCTGGCATTATCGTATCTGTAGACAAAGCAAAATTGACACTGGATTGTGTGGCATGTTTAGCGGTCTCTGACTGAAATCATGGAACAGCTATTGGAGCATCTAATGCAGTGATTATTCATCTCTGGTTTGCTCTATCTACTCATGTATGTATGCCCCCTCCCTTCCGCCTAACCCTGGTGCTGATGATGATGATGATGATGATGAATTGTGGAAAAGGGGGAAAAGTGTGGGGCAAAATGAGAAATGAGCAAAAGTTGAGCGTTGGCCAAAAAACGGCAACTATTATGCGCTAATTATGACTAAATAATTGCACGAAAAGCGTCGGTCGTCGGGCGTCGAGTGCCAGCTCCATCTCTGAGCTCCAGTCTCCAGTCTCCACTTGCTTTGATGATTTATTTTTGGCTTGGGCTCTGCAGCAGCTGGTTTTAAGTTTTACTCTTTCTTTTCCACCCATCCACCCCATACAGCAGCAGCGCCCCCGCCCTACCCTGCCCGCTTCGGCGGTTTTTCTGCCGAATTTTGATTGAATTTGTTCTGTTGTTGTGGCTTTTCGTGTAACCAAAACAGAACTTTCTTGAATGGGCATTCAACGATAAGTAATGCAAGTAGGGTAATCAAACACATATCACTCTCTACAAGGTTCATCTTAGCGCTTTGATTTACTTGGGGCCACCAGCAACTGTCGGTAGATATGTAATCAATGTCCCCATATATTTGATTTATTTCTTTAAATCTTAATTCAACTGTTCCTTTTTTTGTTTGTAATTGTAATACATTAAGTGTTAACTGAAAAAGTGCAACAATTCCAAGACGCAATTTCCGCTGCACCTTAATAAATATGTAAACAAATATGTACATACATAGCATGTATGTATGTGTGTACATAAATGCATGTAAGAGCTCCATAAGTGTTGAAATGATGCACTGACTATGTAGCCTAAATATGATGAAATGCTTCCAAAGATTTGCCACCTTGCCAAAGGGGTATACAAAAACAGAACCCAAGCCAACACTCCCCACACTCTCTCCCGCCCCACCGTTTTCGGGTCGTGCTTCCCTCGTCGCAAAGTGTAGTGAGACTCTCTCGCTCTCTCTCTTTCTAGCTAAAAACAAACCTAATCGCACTGAGCTTTGCTCTCAATCACACCTCTACATGTGTGCGTGTCGCTGTTGAAGGGCGACGAAAAGCGTCTGAGATGTTCCGTTAATTTGGAACTTGGTCGTGTGAGGGGGGGAGATGGCCACAGTGGGTGAGATGATTAATTGATTACACGTGGGCCTGTCGGTAGTCATTATTCGCGCCGCCAGTGAGTGCGCGACGGAGAGGGCAGCATCGGGGTATCTCTTTGCGTAACCCATCAATGGCCGGCTCCATTTGGTGCAGGGAATGTGTGGCTGTGGATCGGAAGTGCTTTGAAATGATTAAAGAAAAATCGCAGGAACTGATCGAGCGGCCCTCGCTGTTATGGCATTGCCCAGAAGGCGAATGTCAGGGCAACGTTATCAGGCAGCGTTATCGCTGACGCGCCGGTTGCAGGGGAGGAGCGAGCGAGCGAGCAGCAGGCAGCAGGCAGCGGCAGTACTCATAAGCCGCTGAAGCTCAACGCAAGTGAAGATGAAGATGAAGCTGAAGCTGAAGCTGCCGCGGAGCAATTGCACAGGGACGTGGCTGCTGGGAGGATTGCTGCTCCTGCTGGGGCTGCACTGGCACTCTGCCCTCGGCAAGGAGGAGCATGAGGTGTTGCTGCTGGAGATGGACTCGGATGCGGACGCGGACGCGGACTGCCAGCAGCAGATGAAGGATGACATGGATACCACGGAGTCGGCCTGCGAGAACTTTCACGAGTACGCGTGCGGCAACTGGCACCCGAACAGCTCGCAGCGCGCCTTTGGGGCCCACGACATGCGCAGCCAGTGGGCGGCGGTGCACAAGCAGCGCCTGGTGCGGCACTTCAGCCAGGTGTCGTCGAGTGCGGAGCCGGATCAGCTGGCTACCTTCTACGGCAACTGCATGTCCGGGCAGCAGAGTGTGCGTGTCTACACGGAGGCCTTGGAGCGCAGGACCTACTGGCCGCTGCTCAGCAACGACTCTGCCACCTTCGACTGGGTGGCGGCCTCGGCGGGGCTGCGTCGCTTCGGCGCGCAGGGCTTGTGGCGGCTGAAGGTGCAGCCCAACTGGCAGGCGGCAGACCAGAGCATATTCTACCTGCTGCCCCCCTCCTTCGAGATGCTCGGCTCCAGCCCCATCTCGGAGTTCCTCTACCAGCGCTATCTCAAGAGCCTGCTGCTGGAGCTGGGGCTGCGGGTGCGCCGCGCCTCCGCCCTGGCCGCGCAGCTGGTGGACTTCGAGCAGAGTCTGCGGCAGCTGCTGCCCCTGGACGTGGAGCAGACGCTGGTGCTGCGCGAGCCCCAGTCGCTCGGCCAGCTGGAGCAGCAGCTGCCACAGCTGCAGCTGCGGCGCTACTTCGATCTCCTGCTGCAGGGTCTTCCCTCAGGCGCCACCGAGAAGCTGCTGGTGGTGGCCGATCTGGAGTACCTGAGCCGCCTGCAGCGCCTGCTGCAGCGCCCACACAGCGTGGATCCCCTGGTGCTCTCCACCTGGCTGCTGCTCAAGCTGCCCGCCCACGTTGAGCTGCACCAGTACGACGAGGATCCGCTGAAGGTGCGGCAGCGCCACTGCCTCGAGCGGCTCAGCATTCTGATGCCCCGCCAGCTCTCGCAGCTGCTGGTCCGCCTCTCGCTCGGGGAGGATCCCGCAGCGTACGAGGGGCAGGTGGTGCGCGCCCAGCGGCTGTTCAGCCGCCTCCAGGCGCAGTTTGAGCGCCAGCTGAACGAGACGGACGTGTTCGAGGCGGACCCCAGCACCCAGACGCTGGCCATACAGAAGCTGCGCAACATGCGCCTGATCCTGCCCCAAATAGAGGCGGAGGCTCCCGGCGCCGGCGCCCAGCCGCTGAGCGGCAACTATGACGAGAACCTGCTGCAGTTGTCCCAGAGTCGAGCTCTGGCCGAGTTTCGGCTGGTGGTGGACTGCCAGGAGAAGAGCTGCGATGGCGCCCAGCCTGCGGATCGCAACAGCCTGAACCCGCTCTCCGTCAACGCCTACTATCGGCTGAAGCAGAACGCCGTTGTGCTGCCACTGGGGCTGCTCACCGCCCCGTCGCTGGAGCGCTGCAGATGGATCAATGCGATGGATCAGACGGCACGATTGTCCGGCAGCATGGGCTCCATCCTGGGCCACGAGATGGTGCACGCCCTGGACTATGATGGCATCAACTACGATGCCAGCGGACAGCTGAGCAACGGCCAGTGGCCACCGCGGGCCATCATACGGTTCGGGCTGCGCGCCGCCTGCTACCTGGGCTCCCGCTACAGCAACGCCACCCTCACCATCAACGAGAACATTGCGGACAGCGAGGGACTGCGTCTGGCCTTTGAGGCCTACCGCCACCAGCGCACGCACCGCGGTGTCACCGATCCCCGCGGCCTGAAGACCTTCTTTGTGGCCTTTGCCCAGAACTGGTGCGGCAGTGCCCCGTCCTCGAGGGGTGCTGGTGCCGGGCAGCATGCGGCGCACTCGGAGCGCGTCAACAATGTGCTGGGCAACTTTCCCGAGTTCCTCGAGATATTCCAGTGCAAGGCCGGCAGTCAGATGAGTCCCCCAGACAAGTGTCGCATTTGGTGAGGAGGCGCTCAAAGGGCATCACCGACGGGTGACTTTTTCAATAAATAAATGTGTGACTGTACGCCCATGGTTGAGGTGTATTTACAAGTACTAAAATGCCTTCCTATCTTTTATCGTTCTTCGAAACTCAAAACATAATTGATCGAAATGTTGAGTGACAGAATCCTTGCACTCTTGCTGCTAATCAGGTAATGAATGAATGCATTTGCCATTCAAGAAATTGTCAAGTGCCAAGTGCCAAGTGCCGTATGCCGGAATGCCAAGTGAAATGTAATCAAATGTTTTAGTTGTTTGCTTGGCAATGGCAGTGACAGCAATACTCAAGAAAACTTCAGTCACAAAAGTGACTAAAAGGAGGTGGAGGAGTGGCACATTCATGCACATTCGTGCCATCTAATGCTCTGCCTAATAATAATCGCAATGACAACTGACAGCAAATTGTTGACAAAGGGAAGGGCAACAGCGGCAGCATCTGCCAGTCGAACATGCATATACACATAGTATATATGTAGAGTCCATATGTGGACGATATGTTCTGCGACAAGTTTTGCCATCAAAAACTCCCCAAAGTATGCAATGGTTTATGCACGCAAACTTGCCGGCAAAACTGCCTTCCAGCAAGCAGTAGACTGTCAGTTTGGCAAGCAGTATGTAGCGGGTGTAGAGAGAATAAGATAGAGAGAGAGAGAGAGAGAGAGAGAGCAAGTCTGCTGCTAAGGGTACATATCCTTTTCCGTGCTGATTGCGCTGTGGCCTGATGATGCTGCTCGTCCTCTTTTTTCTCCTCTTTACTCTGCTGATGATGATGATGATGATGATGATGATGTGGCAGCGGGCAGCCGCTTTACCACTCTTCTCTGCCAGCCGTCAAAGTCGACGCAGGCAGTAGGGAAAGTAGGAGATGAAAGCATTTCACCGGCTAATCCACTTAATTAGTGTTCGTGGAATATTTTCCAATATAAAATGCATGCAACGAATGCAACAAAACAAAAAGTGAAAAAAAAAAACAAGTAAGAAAAATGCAAATAAATGAAATTGCGAGAAAACCCGCAGCAGAACAAATAAAAAGGGGGAAAAAACGTCAAACAACGAACGTTGTGACAGTGTACCGAAGCGTGGAATACCCTGGCAAAGGGAATTCGCTTCTTGGATTGCTTTATGGCAAGCGGGACAAACCAGGGCAAGCGGAGTGCTAAAAGTGCGCAGGGTCAGGCAGGCAGGCAGGCAGGCAGGCAGGCAGGCAGGCAGGCAGGGGAAGGCGTGAGGCGGTTGAGCACTGAAAATGCTTCGCTAAGCCAACGCATAGCCTTATTATATTAACGGATAATCTGCGGCAAAGCACAAAACTTTGTTGGCATAACTTTCCCTCTCTGCCTTCACCCTTTCTGAGCCTGCTTAAGACTCAAACTGTTCATTAGTTAATCGATAAATTGGTATTTAAATTAAGTTGATTTTGTTAGGTTAAATGGAATATTTGTGCATAAAATTAGCGAATTGAAAGGATGTTGGAATATTTGTGTATTAACAGCAAATCTTTGGCCTGTTTCTAGCACTCGTCTTCCCACCTATTCCTTGCTAATAATTTCATTTAATTTCTCCTACTCTTTTGGCAACACCAATTAAATGTCTACTTCTTAGTGGCGCTTAACTTTTCTATGAATTATCCCGCAATGCAGCCACAATGCACTCCAACATCAATCCAATGGAAAACATCTGATTTTCATACCCTGCCATTATGTATTGTCGGACTGTGTCGGACAACGCAATGGCCCTCGACTGGCCGAGGGGCCAAAATGAAGTTATAGGCAAGCTGAGCGCCCGGATTATGTCCTGTCCCGGCCAATTACAACTTAATCTTCATTTGCAGCCCCACAACGTGCAACCAACACCAACAAGGACATCCTGCAGCTACTTATTTTCATTTTATTTTATAGTTAATTCTTTTTGTTGTTGCTGTAAGTACCAAATCGATACGTTTCACAGTCGTGCCTTGGCATGGATTGCAGACAGCCGGCAAAGAGAAGGACAATGGGCGTGAAAGGACTGTCGCCTGGGGGCATGGGGCAGCCATAGGTGTTGCACGGTGTGCAGCTGAACAGCTGTGTGCTGTGTGCAACTGTTAATTACCACGGCAATCGGGGCAAGCCCCGTTTAATGCAATGCCATTTGGTACGTGACGTGCATAAAGTGGCCGCAGCCAAGTTGGCAATTAATTGCACCACGGACACCCACCGTCCACCGCCACTCGCATGAGCCCCTAAATCCTCAAAGAAAACTTTAACACACTTTAAAGGCAAAGTGGGGAACTGCACTCACTTGAAGGTGTCGCGGCTGAAGTTCTTGAAGATGTTGCACTCGGGATGCTCCAGCAAACGGAATGCTATCGAACAGTGGTGATTCTCCAGCGGTGAGATGTCGTTATATCTGCATGGGGGGATGGCAATTAGCTTGGATTGGGATCGGGATCGGGATCGGGCTTTGTGCATTGGCTGTACTCACCTGAGTGCCAGCTCTGTGCGGGCATTGATCTGATAGATGTTGTTGTAGCCAGGATGATCGAGGTCGTGGCAAATGCAGGACACCAGCAGTATGAGACACTCGAGATCGCCCAAGCGGCTCAGCAGATTCGCTTGGCGTGTAATGGCGTACATCTGCAATGGAATGTTTTTGTTGGAGAGAATATACAAATAATAATCAAGCAGTCATCATCCAATCATAGCTAGTGTCTGCCTCAAGTATCTCTTCATTTATCCTCAAGCCAGCAATTAACGCTTGCCCGTTTAACATTGAAACCTTTTGCCATCGAGCAGTTGCTACTTTAATTTGCCCCACGCTGCACTGTGGCCTCCCCTGGAGGACTCTGCCTGTATCGGATTCTATCGTCTGCTGTTGTCGCGCCTCGCCTTCAGCCACGAGGCGAAGTTAATTTGTCTGGTGCGAAACCTTTGCAATTACCGGCAGAAGGGCAGCCATCCGCTGTGCAGCAGCCAGTGGGCAAGCAATGCAGGCAGCCAGGCAGCCAGGCAGCCAGGCGACAGTGTGGCTTGGCAGGCTGCAAGTGTTTGTCTGTGTCTGCGGCAGCACAATCGTTTGCTGCAAATGAAGATGACTTTGCCGGCTATAGAGTGCGAGCCCTTAAGGAATTTCAACAGCGTTCCATTGAAGCTCCTTCGAAAATACAAAAGCAGCGCAAAGTTTGCTTTGCGCTTTGCTGCGCCCCAAACTTGCACTGCTTCAAAGGGCGGGGAATGCAGGGAAGGGTCTTCTTTGGGGGTTCCTTTGGGGGGTTTAGTCGTCAAAGTTGTTGCAAAACTTTTGCCGCCGTTGCGTTTACTTTGGCATTAAGGGCGAATGGGCAGGGGGAGATGGCTGGGTGATGGTTGTGGGCTGGCTGTTGGGTGCTAGAAATTTATGCAAATGCAAATGCTGTTTGCGTTTCGAATTTCGCAAGTTTATCTAAATTCATTGTCAACAAAACAGACAAGCAGCCAGCCAGCCAGGCCCATCGACAGAGCCAACGAACGAGAACCAGCCCCATCCATTCCAGCCACGCACCAACGCACAGTCAACCACCCAGCCACCCAGCCACCCACTCAAACCTCCCAACCGAATTCCCCCTGGTGAGCGATGCATTTTCTGCTCGTTGGGAAAGTTTGCAGCGGACAAAAATACTCCAAGGAAATCAACGGCAGCGTTGGATGGAAAAGTGCAGCCAATGGAAATTAGTCAAAGTGTTTGGTCACACCCCTCCTCCTGCCCCGCCCCACCACAGCAGTTCCATGAGTGTATCCGGTGTATCTGTTCAATAATTTAAATTTACGGTTCTTGGCCTTAATGCTCTGTTTTTGTTCGTCTGTTTTTGTGGCAACAAAAAACAAAAAAAAACAAAAAAGAACAGAAGCAAACAAAAAAAAACGCTTAACGGCTTGACTGTCATGTCCTGTGAGAGCTGCACCTCTCTCCTCTGACTTTTCACACACACACACACACACACACAACGCAATCCAGAATACACATACACTCAGAGACATGTATATAGAGAGATGACCCACCGCCGCCTATGCAAATGGACGCCCATTGAATTGTAAAATACGCACCAACGCATATGGATGGCGGATATTTGGCCCCAATTCCGTGTGGGACATGCGGGGAAAGACAGCAAAAAAAGTGAGCGGGAGAACTGGCAGGTGGTGCAAGCATTTTACAATCGATTTATGGCAGGCGGGCGGGCAGCATATTCCATTCCATTTCCAAAAAGGAATCTGCTAAATGGATGACTTTCATTTTTTTACCCCACAAAAATGTGTAATATTCCAGGCACACAGACATGTTCTTATATATTGTGACACATATATTGGGGTTTGGCTGGTTGGTTGGACTTTTCATTGGAATTTCTTAATAGCATTTTATGGGCTACACTTACGACGAAATGAAATGCAACTGCATTTCGATGGCATGTCTCTGGTTCTTGTTATTTTTGGTTTTTATTTTCTTGTGTCATTGCAAGCAACTGCTGGCCGATTAAGTCAATCAGAACTATGAATGGGAACTAGCCAAGAGTCGCAAGCTGTAGCCCTGAGAGTTGTGGCATTTAATTGCTGCAATTAGAGCTGGTGACTGCTGGCACTCAGGACACAGAGCACAGGTAAAGAACTTCAACTAAAATGTTGCCCAAAAAGGGGGATTTTTGTGCCTTCAATCTGAGTGTTACAGGAAACATAAGGGCAGAGCTATTACCCAAAAGAAGATCAATTAAATGCGGCAAACACGCCTTGAAAGTGCCTTTCAGTTTTACCAATTCGAACCATGTTTGATGTATAGATTATAAAATATTTATCTTACTTTGGCAGAGTGATTTTCATACTTTGAAGTTCGAAATAAATTGCTAAATAATATAATAAATATATCTCTTCCATATCCATTCATTCCTTGCTGGATTTTACATCATTTATTGGGAGCATTTCTGGCGAAAGAGCCCAAGAGCCCATGGGCCTTTTGTTTGATTTGAAAAGTGTAAATATGCCCAGCGTTGCCTCACGCACTCATCTTGTGTTGTGTGGCCTCAATTGAAACTCTTTTGAGTGGACTTT